TTAAGACTCCACGCTTCGAATGCACGGGGTGTAGGTTCAGTTCGATCCCTGGTCGGGGAACTATGATCCCACATACCTCGAGGTCAAAAGAACAAAAAAACATAAAACAGAAGCAATATTGTAACAAATTCAATAAAGACTCTAAAAATGGTCAACATCAAAATAACAAAAATGATCTTTAAAAGAAACAAAAAAACCCTGCAGCTGCATCTTAAAATCTGTCTGACTCTCCTGCCTCCCACTTTCCATCATAAGGATTCTTGTGATTGCATTGGGCCCACTCAGATGATTCAGGATAATCTCCCTGTCTCCAGATCCTTAACTTAATCACATCTGCAAAGTCCCTTTTGTCATTTAAGGCAGCATAGTCATAGGTTCCAGGGATTGGGATGAGGATGTCTTTGGAGGCCATTCTTTTGCCTATACCACAAGGAATATGACCATAATTTGCTGATTGCCTAGGATTTGGAAGAGAGGTGGAAAAGCCTGGATTGGTCATGTCAACCCTCTCAGTTTCATTTTACCTGTAAAACAGTGGTGGGCAAGAGGATGGGGGTGGGATTCCCTTCCAAGCCTAACACTCTGACTAGAATGTCAGCTCCATGAGTACAGGGATTTGTGTCTGTCTTGTTCACTACTGAGTCATCTTCATTGTCTAGAACAGTGACTGGTATATTAAAGGTGGGTATTAATTATTTGTTGAATAAAATATTTGTTGCTGAATGAATGACCGAGTCAAGAGAAAGTTTGAAAAGAGCACTGGGAAGAATTCTCCACTGGCTCCTGTCTATGTTAAGTTCTTGTTTTCCTGGTGAAGTAAGGTTTTCAGCTCAGGTTACAGAATCCTGTCATTATAATAGAGACATTCTGCAGGTGGGACAGAGGGATAGCTAAGATTTGTAGAGTTTGTTCCTTTTCTCCCTGGCTTTTAGCCTCCATGCTGAGCATCTCCTGGAACTAGGAACAGGGAAATGTATAGTAGGGATTGATGTATGGCCTCAGTAAGGGTCGGGGCAGCTGCTGATTGAAGAAGAAATTGCTCGCTGTGGCAGTGATCACTTGTCCCTGAAGCGACCAGCTGTCACATTCCTCACTGATCACCCAGTGAGAGTCAAGTCTTGCCCTTTGCATTCCTAAAAGAACACTTGACCCTGTGAGGACATAATATTCATTTATGCTCTGAAAAGTGCCAGTGAAATAGAAAACAGAGAAGCTTTTTTGTGCTTTAAAAAAAAAAATAGCATAAAGTATTGGTGTTTGAGAGTACTGCAGGTAGATAGCAGGTAGGCAGAAGTGATTGGGCTTCTGATATGGAAGCTAAAATTTTTAGGGGCTTTGCCTCTCAGATATGAGGTCTGGCAAATTCTTGCCATAAAAGCTGTCCTTGAAAACTGACATTTAAAAACCTTGTCTTGGAGAAAATTAATTTGTTTAAAGGAGCAATAGATGGTAGAAGGAGGAAAGACTTTTTATCAACACAAGGAGGCCAGGGGGTGCAGGTTTTGCTAGGCTCCTTGAAATTTGGAGAATCAAAGTCTTTTTGTCTTTTACTGTCTTATGTTACCTTGGACAAACACTATACCTTTTCTCTGATTTTTATCTGTTGTTTTTATCAGTGGTATTTTTAAAATGTCATCCAGCTAAGTATTGAGGCACATGTGAGTACCATATATATTTTCCTCATCTAATAGTCCCTTGAAAGAACTTGCCTGTTTTTTTTTTTTTTTTTTTT